CCTGGCGCAATATGGTTCATGGGGTCACGAAGAGTCGGACACGACTTAACGAGTGAACAACTATCTATCTTTCAAAAAAAAAACGTCTGACCCCAACACCCAGATTTGAAGGCTTTCACACCTGCCTGTGCTTCTGGCCTGGAGAAGCCCGCAGGACCTGTGGGGGATCCCCCTTCCCACGACCTCCAAGCACTGGGGGGCAAGGCGGGGAAAGGACCCCGCTCACCCCTCCGCAGGGCCTGAGAGCCGGTCGTCTCGTGCCCTCAGCTGCTAGCGACATGTCCGTCAAAGGCCCTCGCCGCACTGGTTGGCTCAGCTTCGGCTCCGGGGGAGCAATGGGAGGCGAGCAGGCAGGAGCCCCGTCCCGGGCCTGGAGGCAGGAAGTCAGACATCTGGCTGTGCTATTTCGAGTCCGCCTTTCATCGAAGAAGCATCAGCGCTTTCCTTCTCTGCCTTTGCCCTCACAACAGCCCTGTGAGGTAGTCCCAGGGAGAGTGCATGGCCTCAGTCACAGGAAAGACCCAGCTGCAGCCTTTCTGGGGCATGCTGCTCAGCTGGGTTGCTTTAAATCGTGGTGCTTCTCTAACAACACGGTTTGGTCTGCTGTGCAAACCTGGTGTGGCTCAGGATGTTGTGCGAACCCAGGAAATGGGGGTGTTTTCATACAGCGATAGAATGGATGAGTCAGAAGGGAACTTAAGGGTCCCTCGAGCCAGGTTGGTCTAGTGGTGAGGGCTCCAGGCTAGAAAGCAGGAGGCAGTGAGTTCTAGTCCTGCCTTAGGCATGAAAGCCGGTGGGGTGACTTGGGGCCAGTCCCTCTCTCTCAGCACCTCACAGGGTTGTTGTGGTGGGGAAAATAGGAGGAGGAAGGAGCATTAAGTACGTTCGCCGCCTTGAGTTATTTATAAAAATAAGAAAGGGATAAATCTAAAATCTAAATCCAGACCAGTGTTTCTCAACCTTGGCCCTTTAAGATGGGTGGACTTCGACTCCCAGAATTCTCCAGCCAGCATGGGAGCCAAACTTTCTGTCCCATCTCCCCCCTCCCCCACCCGGCCATGCTGAACCTCTTCCCAATCTACATCATTCCAGGGGCAGTTCAAACACTTTCTAGAAGTAAACCATTCCCCCAGGGATGAAATTGGCCCATCCCTGACTGTGCTGCTTTCCAGCTGCTATCTCCCAAAATTCCTCCTCCAGTGCAGCCCGCATCTCCTTTCTTGGCATCTACACCGGTGGGTCTGCAGCCTGCTCTCTGTTTCAGCCTTATTGGGCGAAGGCCATCAGTGATGGGGCCAAAGTCACCCTGGGAACTTCCATGGTTGAGGGTCAGTTGAAACCCAGATCTCCCAAACCATAGAGGCCTCTGTTCTGACCGGCGATGGGGGGTAATTCCCTAAACCCGTATCAGAGCAATGCCTCTATGCCAGTGTTGTCCAAACTTGGCCACTTTAAGATGAGTGGACTTCAACTCCCAGAATTCCCCAGCCAG